CCCCCCCCCCCCCCCCCCCCGTTCCCTGACCAAGGTCACTTGCATCCAAGCAAGCTCGATCGGAGGATTCGCCGATGATCGTTGTTCCCGACAGAGGATCAGAAAAGTTATCGTCCCTCCTTCGCAGCGAAACGTCTCCACTGTCAGCAAAAAAAGGAGCGCTACGTATCGAGGGGGGGTCGAGCCTACGGAAAACCAAACCACCAGTCACGGCGTGTGTTCGAGTCAACGCTTGCTGCTGGGCACGACGCTGCGTTCTAGAACGGTGTAATGTTGAGGGCGGCGAAACATGGGATAGCCACGTGCATCTACACACCCTGTTTGGAGGGAACCGCAATGAGACAAGAAATCCAACTCCTTTACCCTCAGGTTTCATGCAGCACCCCGCCCGCACGCAGTATATTCAACTTGGAATGTGAAAAGAGGGAATCGCCCTCAACAGACAGACGTTGGGAAACTGTTCCCTTCATGAAGGACCTTCTCCAAACGAGAATTGTGTATTTCGATTTTCCTTGCACGAGTGGTTGGGGATTTGTGTGTCCCCGTTGTCAGCGCTGCTGGCGAAGGTCAAAGTTTGTTTGCTTGCCCTGTATGCTCGTTATTTTGTTTTAGTTCACATTGTTTTTGTCGTAAAATTAAATTTCATTTCCGGTGTAATTATTCTCAGGAAATTCTATCTCGCTCCACTGGTTCGGCTGTGTCCCCATCGTCAAGCTGTGCAGTCCTCGCTGTTTGCCCGAACGCTCCCAAATATCTATGCCGGCTGCAAACCCTCACCGTTTCCAGCAGGTTGCACTTGTGCGCGAGGTAGTCCGGGTTCAGGCACCGGTAGTGAGGCTTGGCCCTCAGCACCCGCCTCCAGGCGGCCGCCGCGTCCGGGTCTCCTTGGGTGCACGCGGCGATTGTCTTGAACTTGGAGAAGCGCTGCCACTTGCTCCACCTGCGACGGGCTCCCTTAAGGCGGACCTCGTACTCCGCATGCATGCCCAGGATCGTCGACACCACTCTAAGAGACAACGCGAAGCCGGGTATGGTGCAGAAGAGAGATAAGAGGGGGGGGGGGGGGGGGGAGGAGGAGGAGTCGAGGGCGACAGAGCGGCCGTGGGCCGTGATATGAAAAGCCGCAGTTTATTGAGAAAGGGACAAGTGAGGTGGGGGTTAGTTTTGACCCTCGTCGATCTATTCCCTCTGGGTTACTTCAAAACGTTCCTGTAGCTACAGCATCAACACCTCCCAACGCCATACTGAATGTGTTGCGGGAGCTTGCATGTAACTCGAATTCAACCTTGAATCATCCTTCAGAAATGATTGCGCGCGCACAGATGCGTACATATACGTAGGCTCTGACGCAACCTCATACATCATTTTCTCTTATCTCGCGTGACGTATTGACACACCAAAAATGCTTTCACCGCCGAAAAGAATTTTGCTGCTTTTATTCTATGCCTTCAAGTTGAAGGCACGCCTTCTGCTGGGCAATTCGACGTTGATTCGGAATTTGTTCTCTGTACATTCACCTGTGGAGGTCAGGATATGGAGATTCAGGGAGCACAGATACACGTACATATACAGTAGCACAACCTTTGTACATGCTGTCTCCCATGACATACGCATCAATATCATAGGAATACCGGTCCGAGATCCTACTCCTTATGTACGTGTATCTGTGCTCCCTGAATCTCCATATCCTGACCTCCACAGGTGAATGAAAAGAAGCACATAATACGCGTACGAATGACAGCAAGTGGTTCATTGTGCTCACTTCGTTCCCACTTGAAGTCTGCTGTAGTGTCCTACATGCATGCATACGCATACGAACGACTACACAGCGGTCTGGGTACGGGAGAGGGGTATATCGTGCTGCGATACGCAGAGCAGACGGCTTTTATTATAAGGGGAGTGATTCATCTTTCGATTGGTCTTAGAGTTGGGAAGTTGAAGACTGAAGACAGCTCGTACATCGTACTTACGTCTTTCTGTGAATTTATTTTCCCTAATACAACGTCTTCCCGCACTGAACTGGGACTTGTGATGAAACAAAAACTTTCCAGCACGCGAAAGATAAGAGCCCGATTTTCGTGAGATACCAACAGCAACCTTCGGGCGACAAAGCAGTAAATGTGCAAATCACGACCACTGGTAGGAAGAAAGCTCTGTGCATACTACAGACGGAAGAGGGCGAGGCCCGTCGCGCACAAGCGTCATGGACAACGGAGAAACGACGCACCTACGGTGGAACTTGTACCAGCTGTACTCGGCACTCTGTTGTTGCGACCAAGGGTCAGAAAAACAAGTCCGAACTACCACAAAAATAAGCTTGCGCCTGGCTTTGCGCGCGCCCCTCTCGTTGTCACCACGCGTCTCCGAGAGGCACCTCGGCTCGAAATTAAAACCACTGACCTCACTTCTTCGTTTCGCTTCGAGACAGCAGATTCACGTGAAAATACGAGACGATGGTTCAGCAGAGATAGCCGCGGGGGAAGATTGCAGGTCGGAGATACGAACAGCTTTATAGGTACTACTACACACAGCAGTAGCTAGCACACACACACAGCTTCTTCTACCTGTACCCAGCGATGTGCATCGTGAAAGTCATGGAGGCCGGCGTCCCCACCACGTGGTAGCTGATATCCGGCACCACTCCGAGCTTCTCGAGCGCTTCCTTGTCCCGCTCGTTGGTGGACACCTCGAAGGTCTTGGTCGACGTGCACGAGGCGAAGTGCCTGGAGCTGTGTTGTACCCTCATGTTCGCAATCGACGACGACCTCAGTGTGCCGATCCCGTGGGCGTGCTCCTCCGGGGACACCGAGTTCCACACCCGCCGCAGCCCCTCCGTCAGGGCCGCGCACGCGTCGGCGCAGGCCTCGCCGTTGCGGCGGCGCGGCGGCCGCTGCTGCTGCTGCGGGGGGGACGGCATGGTCTTGGGCATGACCCACCCCGTAGAGGAGTAGCACTCGTTTACGGTCCCCATCTGACGCTGCTGCTGCTGCTGCTGCTGCTGCTGCTTTCTCTGCGGTCTGTACCATTCGGCCTTCTCGTTGACGTCCTTCCAGTGATGGTTGTTGCTGTGGCTCAGCGACGAAAGCTGCGGCTCCGAGAACGACCTCTCGCGCCCCCGGCTCTCGCTGGCCAGGTCCTCGAGCTTCTTGGAGAAGTCCCACTCCTGCGCCTCCTTCAAGGAGATGCGGTGGGCGGGGTGGAAAGGCTCTACGTTGCTCTTTTCAGCCGCTGACGCCGGAGCCCCCGCCGCCCCCACCGGCTGCCGGTAGGCGTGCCCTTCCTGCTGCTCCCAGCCCTTGCATTCGTTCTCGGCCGTGTCTTGGCTGGACGTCCTCGAAGTCGCCTCGGTCTCGACCGAGCTGGGCCCCCTCGTTGAGGGTTCTTCCAGTAGGTGCCGCGCGGCAGTGATGGTTTCGAGAGAGACGCCCCCCAGGTGGCTGTGGTCATGCCGGGCCGGGTCGAGGGAGCCGTCGTGCATGACATCGGTCTCGACGTAGAAGAGCTCGCCTTTTTTGTCGAGGGGAGAGATGCAGCGTGTGTGAG